CTGGTTCATTTGAGTGAGGAGCATATAATTATTTTGCTTTATTATAATGCCAGGGCTTGGGGATGAGGTACTGATAGTGGTTTCACAGAACAGAGGCTGGGAGAGAATTTCTACTGGAGCGATGCAGAGGATGCCAGGTCAATGGGAGGATGTAGCAGGTGTGGTGGTTGGAAGGGAAGAGGAAAAATATTAGTAAGTCAACTGAGAAGGGCAGGAAAGGCCAAAAAGCAGCCAAAAAGACATGAAGACTTGGCACAGGTTGTCTGTAGGCAGAATAAAGGTCCAGGAGATATAAAAGCAAGAGAGATACATGCAGCAAACAAAAGGTTAAGCAGGAAGAGAAAGAAGCAGTCCTGAACAAACAAGTGAGAAAGGGACTGATTGAGGGGATGGCCAGGAATGGGGAAGAATGGCGTGTCATAGAAATGGCATGTGTCCGAGTTGAATTAGCTTAAGGATAGGGAGGAAGGGCTGCACAGCATTGCATAATCTTAATTAAATTTATATTATCTTACCACACCTTTTTACACAACGGTATCCTGTGTAAATTTTGAGAAGTGGATTCATTTTGTCTGAAGATCATATTGGTAGATGAATATTTCCCCATCTTGACCATGATTTGCATCATCCTGGGGATCACCTTCCTGTTATCCACCCTCTTTGAACTGCTGTTGGCATATATTGACTGTCATGTTCCCTCAGTTGGAATGCCAAAAGTCCGGGGTTACTTTTCAGTCGGTTCCTTGGTTTTACAGAATTTCTTATTGGCTTAGATTACTTGAAGGAAGCCAATTCAAATATTTACATTTACCCACATACAGCAATTACAAAAGATATTTTTTCATAAAGTAGAAACCCAAATCTAAACCCAACAAAATGCCTAGTACAGTGCCATGCACGTATCAGTATTCAAGAAAGATACTCTGTTTGGATAGAAATTGTGCTTTCTTTGGGATTTACTTTGTAGGATACATTCTGAAAAAACATCACAACTTGGTATAATCCTTGAAAATGACAGTGTATGGTAGAATGTAGTTTACAATAACTATTTCCCAATGGATTAAGTCATGTCATAAAATTCATTTCTTCAATAATATCACCTTTCCCAAAAGGGCTCCAGAAAATTATTTTCATTGATTTTCTTTTTTTTGGTGGGGGAGAAAGGACATGAGATGAGGCATTTTGGCGCTGGTCAGTAAAAGCATTGTCCTAAATCAAAGGTTTAAATTCTCAAAAGATTGTCTTTTTACATACTGCTCCATGTTTACATGTATTTGACAAAATTGACAATGAGAGTTTCTTTACCTACTCTTATTCTTTTGTACCAGGAAAGTATTCATCATTATCAAGTCAGTAAAGTTACTGAGCATTTCACATGGTTGCATAAAAAATATTGTCTAGATGATGTGCTGACAAAATAATGACAAGCATCTGAGAAAATACAGATGTGGAAAATGACATGCACTTTTGTCCTGAAAGTTATTGCCATTTTGATTTAGTTGAACGTAAGTTTATAATGGTGAAAGATTCTAATAATTATTGCACTCATCTGCTGGTTTATAGTCCTTTACAAAGATTTAGGCATGATTTAGTCATTAAACATTTATTCCTTGCGTGCTGTATATGAAGACAACATGAAATGCTGTAATCTACTGTTTTTTTGTTCATCCAACCAACCACTTAACAATTGAGATGACAGCCAAGAACCAAAAATAGCTATTCGCATTCTCATTTTCATTTTAGACTCATGCATTTAACAGTTTTGAAACTAATAACCCTACTTGAATGGAAAAGTGCGAGGTGGGTATTAGTTTCCCAAGGAAGGCATGTCTAACGTGGCACCATCAGCAAGCTATTATTGTTTTAGGCATCTAACCAAGAGCAGTCATAAGCTTCCTTGAAAAATCTGCATGGAGAGCAAAGTTTACTTTTAATCTGTTCCACTTTCCTTTCTCTATCCCTCTTCTGTTGTTTAATCTCTTTTCTCCATTATTTATTGTGTGCATTTATTCATTCCATTCACTCACTCACCAACTAATTATTTTTCAAAAAAGAGTAAGATACTTTTCCAGTGGAGAAACAAAGATATGAAAGAGAGGGACATTGTTTAAGGCAGCTACTGAGTCTGTTCTGAAGATGTCATGTCCAGGCACAACCAAGGTAGAAAGAATAACGTGGTAAATGCCATTTAGTGCACATCACTGTGAGAGTTCAGACGATGTGAAGCACCCCGGTTCTATCCCAATGGAAACCTGCCTTCTATTGAAGTCTCCCTTCCTTTCAGCCAGAGGTTCTCAACCTTGGCTGTACATGAGAATCACCTGCAGAGTTTTGAAAAGTTCTGATACTCAGGCCAAATACCAGTACTGTTAAAAAAAAAATAAAAAAAGGAAAACACACTGTGGAGATGGGATGCAGATGTCAGTATTTTTTAAATGGGCTATTCCAATAAGCAGCTTAGGCTGAAAATCACTGTTCTAAGTATTCCTTCTTCTTTTAAATATCAGACTTCAGTATCACTTCTGCACATTACTATGCAGAGAAATGGAAAAAGGGGACAATATTAGAGAAAATATTTATTTTTCATATTCTCTGAACAACATCAACAAAAACAAAAAAGCAAATAAAACAACAATAACAAAAACAACAAAACTGTTCTGTCAGTTCTTGAGGTAGATAATTAAAAATTGTCAAAAAATATATGGACAGATCTTGATAACTAGTGGTGGAAGTAAGGGGTAAGGTAGTAAGAAAGGCGTTTTCTGGCATGTGTACAATTTGAGAGATTCAGGTAAGAAATGTGATCATCTAAGGAAGGTAGGATGTGGTAGGTTAACTTATCTGGTTATATGGCAAGGTCCATAAAGGACATGGAATGGTAGTAGGAGGTCTGATTTGTTTTGACAACAGACCTTTAGTATTTATTCCAATAATTTCACAATATTAGATCAGTGGCCAAATTATTAAGCCCTTTCATAGAACCTGCAAAAACAAAACAAGACACACATAATAAATCAAGCTTAGATTTGACCCCTAGTGTGATGGGTTTGGGGGGTAGTTTAGAGAACTCCAACAAAGAGCCCAAAATTTGGCCACTGTTATTAAATTGTGAAATACCTTGGAATAGATACAAAAAGTTTGTTGTCAGCAAATAAAAACTAAGTGAAACGACGTAGAAGAGATTCGTTTCGAAGTGTCCTATTTAACACCAATGGCTAAAAGCTCTTCTTTTCCGTGTGCTTTCTTCATATTATTGGCAGCAAGGTAGAGTAGAAAGTCCATAGATAGGACAGACTCTGGTTCCTTTATTACTATCTGTGGGCACTTGGGTTACAAATTAATTCTCTGGGCTTCAGTTTCCTTATCAGTGAACTGAAGGATAATATTCATTTCGGAAAGTTGTTGTGAGAATTAAATGAACAAAACATAATACAGTTGAGGCTCTTAATAATTTTGAGACTTTTCCCCTCTTTCCTTTGTCTGTTGTTGCTGTAATCTCTAGGGCAGCTCAAATTCTTGCAGGTGTAAGGGAGATACAAATTTTATACAACACAAATCCACTAATGGTAAATGTAAGTTTCGGAGTCAGAGTAGGTACTGGGTTGTCTAAGTCTAAACATGGCAGAGATGGCGGTCTTTCAGTGATTGAATATTTTCAGTCTCCTGTTTATCTACAGACCTAGTCTTACTCTAGTTTAGGAGTGGCAAACCTAAAGAGTAGCAGGACACTTGCAGGTCTGGAGAGGGTGGAGGATTTTGGCAAACTGGAGAGTGAGTCTATGCTCTCTTCAAAGGCAGCCTCTATTTGTATCCAGCAGATTGTTTACATGCTAGGATTTAGGCTCTGTTGTTGCTAGAGATGATTTTTCAAGAAAAGTCAGGTCCACATGTAATGTAAAATCTCCCAGTTTTTAAGTGTTGACAACTAATTCCGTTTTCTTTCAACATCATGTGGGCCAAACCAAATATCTGAATACAGCCCGTGTGCTTCCAGTTGCAACCTTTGGAGTTGGAAGGTCCCTTTCACTTTCAATGCTCTCTACTCTATGAGCCCAAGAATAATTGTATTAATGTCACATGAGGGGCTCACTCTAAAGAAATATAGTTATACTCCCATGTCTACATAAGTGTTTCCTGTTGTTGTGTTTCACTATCCATAATTAATGTTACCTCCAAGGAAATTCTTATGCAAACAGCCTCTTGTTCCAAAGTTAAAATCAATTATATCTCCCTATTACTAACTAAAGCACATAGGACTAATTTTATGAATGTTAGTTTTATCTTTTTAACATATCTGTGACTGACTTTAATTTCTCAGGGCCCAACTTTAATTTTCAGCCAATTCTTGGGAGGTAAAAGTTTAAGAAACTTTAACATAAAGTTTAATATGTTGTAAAGTCTTGGAGAAACACAGTCTTTTATCACATCTGCTGTGGAATAAATTATGTCCCCCCAGATTCATATGATGAAGGTCTAACCCCCAATGTTTGGAGATAGAGCCTTGGGCCCTAAGCTAACAAGACTGGTGTCCATATTAGAAGAAGAACAGACAGCAGGAGTGTGCTATGCACTGAAGAAAGGTCATGCAAGGACACAGTGAGAAGGCAGTCATCTGCAAGCCAGAAAATGTAAGCCTCACCAGAAACCAACCCTGCCAGTACCTTGATCTTAGACTTCTAGTTTCCAGAACTATAAAAAAAATAAATTTCTGCTGTTTAAGTTATCTGATCTGTGATATTTTGTTATGGCAGCCCAAGCAGACTACATATACCACTTATAACCAGCCTAATGTCTTTGGTGCCTGGTGTCTTTGGGCTTTTAGGCTCTTAAAAAATTATCATTCTCAGCAAAATACTACTTTTAGATTCTTCTTTTTATCTGGCTTCCTGCTCAAGACATTATGAAAATTTCTGTACCTTCAATCAAGGGGGTCTTCCTCAGTTGCGAAGTATTTCAAACTTTATCTGTGATGGCAGAATACAAACCATTTGGTGACTCACCCATAAAATGTGAGATAGAGGAAACCGATTCTTTTCCCAAGTTTTGAAACTTCTCCTGGTTTGTCAGATGCTCCGGTGAGTCGTACTATGCCTACTTTCTTGAGGGTGGAAAGCCACTTGTACGCATGTTCATCATATCTTAAAACATCTTCAAAATCCAAAGTGGGTAGCTGGAGCTCTGAGCCCCAGTATTGACATTCTGTGAATTAAGAAAACGAAGAAACCAGATGGGATTACATTCTTTTTATATAGGATGATAACCTCAGAGAAAGGGCTAGTTCATTAAAGTTGATTGTTGATTTATAATGGAGTTTATGAAATGTTATTCATATTAGAAATGCTCAAGTCACTAGGCCTTTCTTCCTTGGTGCCATACCAGTCTGTTATATGCCTTCTGCTTACAACTGTGTCTGGCCCATAGCAGGTATTCAATATGTCCCATTTGTTAAGGGAATATTGTTTAGCTGATGAATGGCTCTTTATCTGTATGTTCTAAGGACTTCTCTGCATGGACACTGCTTAGAAATAACTCTGAGATACTGTATGTGTTAATGGCCAAGTTATATTACTCAACTCCAAATAGATGATAAAATCAAAATGGTAGATTAGAACAGAATATGTCTATTCTTGGGGTCTGGGTGCTGGGGGCTGAGGAGAGCTTTGACATGGTAGGTACAGCTCTTCTTTCCTCTTATTTCACCTGATAAGAAGCAACCTCTGGGATCAGATCATCCTTTGGGGTCAGCAAAAAAAGATGAAGGTATATTCCTGGAATACATAGACCTTTTGGTGGGAGTGCCACACAGATAAGGTCAAATGCTTTCCATTAGCTCTCTCATTCTTCATGGTTAAATGCTCATAAAAACGCTTAACTGAGAAAACAGAAAGAAAAATGTAAAAAATAATTGGCTTGCAAACCGGGCTCTCCCAAAGGAAGTGGAACACAGAGGAAATGCAAATTTGCCAATGAAAATAACACAGATATCACCAACTGAATTCAAGAAAAGCCTGACTCTAGCTAATCCATTTGATTTCTTCCTTCCTTGGTAAGAAAATTGCCCTAGGAAGGTAAGCCTTCCTAAAAAGTGACAGAATGAGAACTTCTGATCTCAATATCATCGTGAGCAATGCTTTACTTTTCTAGCTGGGGAATGTGTCATTTTATAAAACAAAATAAAGCCCCTGTTTAAGAATGAAGAATGGGTCAGTGCCTCTTGTAGTAGTTGTGGACTGGAAATCATTGCTTCTTTGATGTCAGCATAGCTGTTTCTGCAGAAATAGGAGTTTTTGTAGGAGTCAGTGGCTTTAGTAGTAAAAAGATACATGCAGGTGCAGGGAGCCACTTCTTGCTCTTCCACCAGCTAGTTGCATAAGGACATTGGCAGAGGTTAGTAGGTGTGTGTATGTATGAAAGCCTAATTAGGCTATAAATGCACATATTGCCAAAGTTTCTGGGTTATTAAGCATAGCAGTTTGTATGATGAGCCAGAATTTCCAGACCAAAATTGCAAACTGTAAATTAGGCCTCCCTAGAGGTGCATTAATTATTTTTTACTTTGCTAATATTCGTTAGTACTGAACACATTCCACAGGCCCCAGTGACTACTGTATTGTCTCTGAAAGTTGAGCTGATATCCAGCCACTGGTTCTGAATTCCTAATTTTAACTCTTTTCTTTCTGTGAGGGGTAACCAGAACTGAAAGAACCACAGTCTTTCCAGCTCCTTAAGCATTGCTTTTCAAGTGCTTCTGATATTTGAGAAAACTTTAGAATTTAATATTAACCAAGTCACTTTGGCAAAGAGAAACAGGCCAGCACATGGGTTATGTTTTATTAGACCAGAGCAAGTTGGTTAGATCAATAACAGACAATGAGGTGTGAAAGTTTCAGGATGGTTTTACATTTTGGGGGCGGGAGGAAGGATGGTTTGATACATTTCTTGGTATTTCTTGATTATATGAGCTACCTAATCAATAGTCATTTGTTGGTTTATATTTTTAATAAGGCTAATATTTTATCATGTCACAAGGCATGGTGATAGGCAGTAGATTTTGAAGAGTTCACAGTCTACAGGAGAATTTGACATGGAAGGTGGCAATTAAAACAAAATATAGTCATTGCTATAGTTGAGATATGTTCGGGATACTAAGAAGGTATCTGTTGTGGGAAGTCATGGACCCCAAATGGAGGCACTGGCTGGAGCCACGGCAGAGGAACATAAGTTGTGAAGATTTCATGGACATTTATCAGTTTCCAAATAATACTTTTATAATTTCTTATGCCTGTCTTTACTTTAATCTCTTAATCCTGTTATCTTCATAAGCTGAGGATATACATCACCTCAGGACCACTGTGATAATTGTGTTAACTGTACAAACTGATTGTAAAACATGTGTGTTTGAACAATATGAAATCAGGGCACCTTGAAAAAGAACAGAATAACAGCGATTTTTAGGGAACAAGGGAAGACAACCATAAGGTCTGCCAGCAGGGTTGGGCAAAAAGAGCCATATTTTTCTTCTTGCAGAGAGCCTATGAATGGACATGCAAGTAGGGAAGATATCACTAAATTCTTTTGCTAGCAAGGAATATTAATATTAATACCCTGGGAAAGGAATGCATTCCTGGGGGGAGGTCTATAAATGGCCGCTCTGGGAATGTCTGTCTTATGCAGTTGAGATAAGGACTGAGACACGCCCTGGTCTCCTGCAGAACCCTCAGGCTTACTAGGGTGGGGAAAAACTCCACCCTGGTAAATTTGTGGTCAGACCGGTTCTCTGCTCTCGAACTCTGTTTTCTGTTGTTTAAGATGTTTGTCAAGAAAATACATGCACCGCTGAACATAGACCCTTATCAGTAGTTCTGCTTTTGCCCTTTGACTTGTGATCTTTGTTAAACCCTTACCAGGAGTTCTGCTTTTGCCTTTTGTCCTGTTTCCTCAGAAGCATGTGATCTTTGTTAGACCCTTACTAGTAGTTCTGCTTTTCACCTTTTGAAGCATGTGATCTTTGTACCTACTCCCTGTTCTTACATCCCCTCCCCTTTTGAAACCCTTAAGAAAAACTTGCTGGTCTGAGACTCAGGCAGGCATCACAGTCCTACTGATATGTGATGTCACTCCTGGAGGCCCAGCTGTAAAATTCTTCTCTTTGTAGTGTTTCTCTTTATTTCTCAGCCAGCTGACACTTATGGAAAATAGAAAGACTCTAAATTGAAATATTGGGGGTGGGTTCTCCCAATAGATATCAAATTTTCTGATCCCTTGTCTAATGCTCTTTCTTGATGCCCAACTACCCTTTCACGTTCATGAAGTTCCCCAGGGCAGTCCCTCAGACTTCAACTATTTCCAAAAGAAAACGGGATTGATTTCATATGGTAAGAGCCTCTTCTCAGAGAGGCAATAGATGTGGCTTTGTTTTGAATATTGGATTATGTGATTGTTTGCTTTGCCACTCCCATTTGCTCATTGTGTTTATAGTCCTCTGATTGTAACATCTGACACCAATTAAAAAGGTTTGCAGGAAGAGGATGATAAATGTTACACAAATTACCTACTGACTGCCTAACTAGAAAGGTCATTTGGGTTTTAGTGAGAAGAAAAATTTACTGGCCAAAACATCAGTGTTAAGGGCATAAATAACAAATCACCATTTCCTCTTTCCAAAGCTCACAGCTAGGTGGACCATGTCCAGAACATTAAAAGATTTATTGAAAACAGCTTTAAGCTTGTTAGAAATCAGGGGCTCATGGAGTATTAGAAGTGGATGGGATGTTAAAGACTCACTTAGCATTTCGTATTGGTTTTTAGATTTCCCATCACTGTTTGTTCTTATCGCTGAACAAAACATTTGCCTAAATTGCAGATGAAAATTCTAGTTTTCTGGCACTGTGGTAATTGGTCCAAAAATGTATTTTCTATTCCTATGTAGACTGTTGTATGGAATTAGGTATGGTCTACGTGATTATCTATAGTAAATGTGTTGCCTTTACTGCAGCTGTTTAATTTATTGATGAGCATTTATTAAGATTTTAAGAAAAATGTATTGTTTCCTATTGAGAGTAAACCAGCCTAGAGAGATGATAGTGGTACAGACTATAGTACTGTCCAATAGGGCTTTCTGCAATAATGGAAATATTCCATATCTGTGCTGTCCAATATCATAGCTACTAGAAACACATGGTTATTGAGATTTGACATCTGGCTGGTGAAACAGAGGCACTAAAGTTTTTACTTTATTTAATTTTAATTAATTTAAATAAATAGCCATATGTGACTGGTACTGTATTAGATAGGTCATTCATGAAGAAAAGAGCATGGAGGCAAGAGGCTTGGGTTTGAATCATTGTCTAGCCACTTACCAGATGCTGTCATTTCTTGGCTTCTTCTCTGTGTCTCAGTCTTTTATAAAATAGAGACAGTTATACTTATTCTGCAGATCTTTTGTGACCATGTAATGATATTATGAAAGGAGTTTGGTACAGTACCTGGCATATAGAAGATCCACAGTATCAATAATAATAGCTAATATTTGCTGAATACTTTCTACGAGTGCTAGATGCTTCTGTACCTTATTTCTTTTAATTTCCACAGCAAATGTATGTAATAGATGCTTGCAGTGTTGCTGTGTTATAGAGAAGGGAACAGAGTTCTAAATCATGCAGCTAATGATTTACAGGACTACTTAGTCAAATCCAGGTGACTGATTCAAAAATCTGTAATTTTAACAACTGCATATAAAATAAACATTTGATGCCTTGAAATACTATAATCATAGGTATTTTTATGTCCTGTATCTGAATGTTCATAGCTTAGTCTGTCCCTCATAAAGTAAATCTACTAGATAAAAATGAAAGCAGAGCAAGCTACAATTAGGAACATTTTGTCTGAACTTGTTCAAGCATGGGTGTTTAAAGATAAACCTTGGCTTCTATTCAGAATTTTAAAAGCAGGAAAAACACTATGAGCAGGTTTCATTGCACAACATTGAAACAACATTGCTATTCACCTTTGGTGAAATGAACCAAGGCTTTGCACACTGAAAAATCAGCTAGCTTCTCTTCTTTAGTATACATCACTATATTTCAGTGATCCATACCTTTTTGGTTTTACTTAAGGTCACTATTACTTTCCAGAGAGTTTCAGTGTGACCATGTGGCAGGGAAATATAATACACAGTGATTGAAAAATCATTTTCACAA